TTTCTACTCATTGCTCCATATACGTTTGTTTATGTAGGACCGCCCGTTCACACTGTTTTGTAGGTATTTTCATGTTATCAGACCAAATATACAGTGCATTATGGACTTGAACTAAGGTGCATCACTGAATCATTCTCACGTCCAGGCTAAGGATTTTGAAACTGGCTCTTAATGAGGAAGTGTGAGATCATGCTCAAGTTTGCGCTCCCGGATATGAGATTTTTAGAAGTCAACCAGGTACCACGCATTATTGAAAACTTAGTAGGACTTTTTCGTCGGGGTGACTTGATATACCTGTTATCCTGTGTGAGATCATCGGGTCACATCCTACTATCATGTGGCTCAGCATGAATAATACCAGCCGCCTTAATCTATCCCTTTAGATTTTTCATCCAGCCACATCACCTACTTAATTCCCCACACCTATACTCTGTCTAAGAGCTTCATGTATTTTTTGAGAGAAACATACATTCTCTACCGTTACACCTTTTGAAACACTAGGGCTCCTCGTTTTTTGTTTTTCAGTTTTCTCATGAGTTTATTGAGATATTTCAGTTATTACCACAATCTGAAAACACCTATCACCTGGCACTTTGGAAGTGAATTCATTTATCAAAACTCAGTAGGATCTGTGGTCAGAGTCCTTTAGGATACTTTATATTCTGCAAGAGGATCCACACTAATCTTTGCAAAATAATACCGTTTTCTAGAATAAACAGTGACTTCCGTACGAACGAAATTGAGGTGGACCAAACATTCAAGATTGTGGTATCAGTGGGGTATAAACTTCTGCTCACTGTCCTGCTTAAAACGAGTACTTGACACGAAACTTTTGATGTTATCGACTCAGTAAAACATAGGGAATCTATTATTAAGATCATCTTAAGGGTATCTTGAATACAGTTAAGGTACCATGCTTTTTTTGTGATATTGGGCCACGTTTTCCTTTTAAACTTTTGATCTCTCGTTTTTCATTAAAATTATCTTTCCGTCTGTATCACATCCTCTCTGAATTTTGTGTTAATTGTACTAATTGATGATTCTTTTGTGATTTATCGCACGACTAATAAGAATTCCAGGTGAGAATATTATTTATTGACGATGTTCGGGCAAGGTTAACGTGACCTTAGAAGCGTCTACGTGATAACTAGGACCAAATGAGGGTTATAAAGCAGTGTGAAGAATTAGAATTATGATTTACAGTTAATGGTTAGTGTTAGGAATTAGATTTAGTATTTTCATCACGAACTGACATCAGTTGAAATGACAAAACGCTATGTAAACAAATGAATGAAAGAAGTTTCGCGCCAAAATCCGAGGCCTGTTATTCGTTACCTGGTCGGTTCAGTTTCAGTTTCAGTTTCAGTTTGGGAAGGACAGGAGGCTCGATGGCCTATGTTAGTCCTGGCAATGGTGGTCTCTCAGTTGATCCAACTTTCTTTTGAAAGAGTCGACGGATGGAGCCTCAACCACGTGCTGAGGTAGTGAATTCCACTCGTTGATGATTCGATGGGAAAGTCGATAGTCAGCTGACAAGTAATTTGTTCTCGGCTTATGAACTTTTTTGGAGTGTCCTCGTAAATTCTCTGTTTTGGAAGACAAGAAAAATGAGGGCATGTTAGGTGCAAATTTATCACTAAGCAATTTGTAGACTGTAATCAAGTCGCCTCTAGTTCTGCGATATGACAACGGGAAAAGGTTCAGCTTGGCCAGTCGAGATTCATACGGAAGCTTCGCTATTGCGGGAACCAGCTTAGTCGCCATTCTCTGAACCTTTTCCTGGAGCTCTCTGTCTTTTTTAAAGCAGGGGCTAGCCGCTTGTATGCAGTACTCAAGTTTAGGACGAACGAACACTGTATACAAAGTCAAAAACGTCTTAGTGTCGACATGACTAAAAGCCCTACGTATTGACCATAAGGTTCTAAACGCTTTGGCGGCTATTGCACGGCAGTGTGCAGTAGTCTTTAAGTCTTGACTAACGATAACTCCTAAGTCATTATATGTCTGGACGACAGGTAGCTCAGTGTTATTCATCGTGTATGTATCTGTGCCTTGATGACCGATATGCATCACAACACACTTGGAAATATTTATCGGCAACTGCCATGTTTGAGACCATTCAGATAACTTCTTCAGGTCATTTTGAAGTTCTAAGCTATCACTCTTACATCGTATCGTTCTCCATATCTTGACATCGTCAGCATATAGCAAGACCGATGATGATAGGAGACAAGGAAGGTCATTTACATACAAGAGGAATAGCACTGGCCCCAAAACTGTACCCTGGGGGACTCCACTAAGCACGGTTTCCCAGCTAGACAACTTGGAGTTCACCCTTACTCTTTGTTGACGCCCAACTAAGAAGTCTTTTATCCACATCAATAAATTACCTCCAATCCCGACTTTTCTTAACTTATATAACAGCCGGTTGTGCGGAACTTTATCAAAGGCTTTACTGAAATCAATGAAGGTGACGTCTACAGGTAGCTTTTGGTCCTTAAGAGCACACCAGCTTTCACGAGCCACTAATAAGTTAGTGAGACAAGAATAACCTATTCTGAAGCCATGCTGCTTCTCCGAGAGGATCCGGTTTTTATCGAGATACTTAAACAGCTCCTTCCGAATAATCTTTTCTAATATTTTAACAACCACACTAGTTAGGCTAACGGGGCGGTAGTTCTCAGGTTTGTGTTTCGTGCCTGTTTTGAAGACAGGACTTACTATGGCGTTTTTCCAATCTTTCGGTAAGCGACCCTGCGTAACGGATAGGTTAAAGCATGTACTTAAAGGGTTCGCAACGAAGTTAGATAATTCCTTCAGTAGCCTAGGATGTAATTCATCGGGCCCCGTGGATTTACCTGTGTCAAGCTTATTTAGCAGATCAAAGACATCGAGTTCTTTAATGGTCACGCTATCCAGTGTATGTATGGGGGGATCTGTATACGCTGACGAGAAGGGCGCTTCTATGGTATACACGTTGCTAAAGTAGTTCGAGAACGCTTGAGCCTTACCAAAGTCGTCCTCCACTAATGATGAAGCAGTACTGTCTCCCCATAGAGCAGGAATATTTCCTTTTCTCCTTGTCCTTTGGTTTATATAGGAATACAAGCGTTTAGGACATTCTATGGATTCCTTAACAAGTTTTTCTTCGTACAATTTTCTAGACTTACGGAGGGTCGAGGCACAAGTGTTCCGAGCCTTTCGATACTGAGATTTTGACTCATCAGTCTCCAGTAACCTAAATCTATCCCACGTTTTCCTCTTCTTACGGAGAAGGATACGGACCTCCCTACTGAACCATGGTGGTGAGTTTTTCGGCCCCTTTGGTATAGTCCAAGGGATGTGAGGTGTGGTAACTTTTAAGTATGATTTTCGAAATGTGTCCCAGGCCGTTTCAATGGAGGACTCTGGGTCTATTGTCCAATCTATTAACGATGCTGAGTGCATGATGTCTGGTATGTTTGCTTTCCAGACGTTGGGTCTGGACTGGACTGACGCGTCCTCATGACTGGCAGTTATATGGAAGTCGAAAGTTAAGACTGCGTGGTCACTTTTACCTAAGGGTGGCATATGGTGGAGGTTCGCAACATCATCCTCATAGTGAGTCAGTATAAGATCTAATAAGGATGATTCAGTGTCCGGGTCGTACCTAGTCAGATGGATTTCGATTCGATCAAAGGATTGTGAATTATATTTATATGGCAGCCCCTTTAATAACTTCACCAACTAGATATTTTAAGAGATGCACAATAACTTTTCACCTTAGGAAAATCTCCCCCACATTTCACATGAAAAATACACATTGGGTACCTGTGTTCTCAAGACAACAATATCAACTAAACAACCCGATAATCATCATTTTGGTACCAGTAATTTAACGAGACCGAACATGAAGCCAAATATTTGACGATCAGAGGTTTTGTGGTGATACATCGCAACGAGATGATAGGATTTTAAGTTATTATATATATATATATATATATATATATATATATATATATATATATATATATATATATATATATATATATATATATATATATAGACTGTGAGGTAATAATCATTGTTTGACAATCCTACAGAAGCTTCAGGTAAACTATTTGATCAGTCTTAGATCTAACCTAGAACTAACAAATATACACCCTCACAATCTGGTAAGTAACATACGAATCTTGGTGAGTTTGGGACACAAACTAATTATAATTAAGTGAATGACTGTTGACTCCTTCGTTACAACCAACATTGAAGCAAATAGTTGGTAGTAATACTGCCTTTACGTTAGAATTCCAATTTTCACAGTACTGAAAAAAAAATCAAAATCACATATAGATAGGATGTTTTGATGAACCCTGTAGCGCCGTGTCGGATTACTACAGACATCTTGGATAAAACAAATATGTAGCATTTCTACATATTATTTACCAGGAAACCTCAGAAGAGTTTACATTTCACTATCATGATCTAAACCCATTCTGATCATAAACCATATCTATCTGCTCTTCCATTAACATCATATTTCCTAAATACCTTGTTATTTTGTAGTGGACAATATCAGTGATCTGGATCTGCCTTGCCGATAGACTGAAACATCTTTACAAAAAATATTTAGAACCACTGCAACTGATAGAATCACAAGCCGCCGAGACCAGAAAAAGGATTGTGGAAGCTATTAATACATTTTGAACATCTAAGGTATATGTTGACGACATAATTTCTATTACTTTTTTAATCACCACAGTTGAAAGGTATAGTTATTTACTGAAAAACATTTTCCACAGTTAGTACAAACCGTTTAACAGAACAATCATTTTACAGAAGAAATGTATGAATACAACGAACATCGATATTCAAATCAAAACTTTACGATGAACAGATGATAAGCAGTAGCCAAACACTATTAATACATATGTTGAAATCATTCTTACCAGTTTGAAGATAAAATTGAGTTCTACTCAAAAAGATAGATAGAGGAAACAGGGAATAGAAATGCGCCAAAATGGCTACCAAACATATTGGTCGGGTGTAAAATTAATATATCTATGATCATAATAGTAAGATTCAATAAATTCCATTTTATTATATGGTTCCGGAGTAAAAAATGCAATTTTATCCTTGTATGCTTGTTCCATAATAGCGCAAGAGACTTCTTTTGTAATTGTTGGCAATCTAGCAATTGATGGATACATACTACCTTGACGTATATCATCGTCTGTAACTAATTCAGATAGTTTCTGGAATAATAATCAAAAGCAGAAAATGATGAAAAATTAGAGTACGTGTCATATATCAGACGTTTACAATCACTGTAAAAATGGAACATGTAATTTATGAAATTTTTGCGCAGGCTAGGAAAATTTATACTAGTTAACCGCATGAGTGTTTGTACACAGGAACTAAATTCTTTGAAAGTAGTAGCGATCAAAAAAGTTATACATCATAAGTAATAATAGGCTTACAGTAGACTGCACTGGTTGAACTAAGAGCTCGTTATCACAAGAATATAAAATTGCGAAAAAGTAAGAAATCTAAAGAACTAGATAAAATTTATTTTCTAATGAGATAGACGACCAGTGGTCATATTCATTCAAAAGAACTGAATCCGGATTGTAATATCCAACGGTTTTTTCTTTAGAGAAATCGAACCGAGTAGACTGTATTAATAACCAAAAAAGAGTACTTCACACAAAATACCAATTTTCATGCAAAACGTGATCAATGATAAGATTCTCTTGCATTTATAGTTCGGAGGATAAAATAAACATTACGGTACAAAACTCATATGATTTTATGGCGGAAAAGTATAAAAACAACCATTGAGATCTAGAATAAAAGGCAGTGTGCATGGCTCAGAGAAATGGTCTCTTTTAGGCAATCTCAATCCCGAAACTGTGTAATCCTCCTGTATTTGTGTTTTCTAGTTTCACTAACAACCATCTTCTCAACTGTTCCAGTGTGTTAGCCTTTTGTCATAAACAAATCATTTTTTACTCTATTTCCGATTCCATTTTATTTTTCGATTTATCTTACCATACTTGGTAATTCACTTTCCATAATTATTAATATTTAACTGACTTTTCTAGTACGCTTGATTAAAAAAATAACTTATTCACTAGGTATGAGGTATTAGCCGCACCTTAAGTATGATGGCTCAAGATACTGAAGTGGGAGGATAGGGTTTAAACCAGGGACTTAGTGCCCAAAATTCAAATGCCTTGACAACTAAGTCACCCTTCTACATACTTCGCTAGAATTCTATTTTTATTTGGTTAATAGAAATTACATGTGTTGTAGCTATATTGTAATTGTTCTTTTGTTACTAAGTCCGATAAATTATGCTCATTAAGAAATAAATTGTAGATTATTTCTTTAAAATAGCATATTTTGTTACCATATAGCTTTGAGAATAAAATCGATGAAAAGAGATTTCTTCACCGAATCCCTGACTGACTCTTGAATGACTGGATAAATATAAAGCATAAGAATGTATTGTATAATAAGGAATCTTAACGACAAAGAAATAACACTTGTTACAATATACAAAATTTATAAATGATTGAATATAGCTCAATTTTATAAATAGTACGGGATTACATACCAAAGAATGAAGTTGAATATGGTATTACATTTAGAGCAAAGGTGTCCACACCACCCTAGACATACTTAATTCTAAGCTAATATGACTATTGAGAGCTCAGAAACATGTAAATAAAATCATGGATCTACAGGTTATCTTGCTGTTAAGGGCCATCGACGAGCACATTATGGGGATTAAGTAAGGCTATTAATTTATTGATACAAAAATCCAGTGAATGGGTTTGAGTAAATCCACTAGTGAATGTGCCTCTGACCAAACTTATCCATCGGGCTCCAATTAACTACTGAGATATTGGGTACCGGTTCTGTCAACGTTCACCTCATGTGCTACAAAAAAGACCGATCTTAGCGCCAACACTACCACGCGTCATTACGTTGGTGATGTAAAATAATTACTATCATTAGTTGTTATTGCCGTTGACGTATGTGGTTAGAGAAGTTTCCTAAAGGTGAAGCGATATAAAGGATGATTAAAATTATTTCCCTCTCACTCAGGCATACTACGGTAATGAATCTAGTCACCTTATATCCGATCCAGGATTCACGACCCAGAATAACACTAGATAATATTTTATTTCACACAAATACAAGCGGTCACACTCAGTGGTCGGGAGTAGAAATCAATGAGAGGGAAAGAAATCATATATTTAATAGTCAGTAGGTTGTGGCTGTTTGTCCACACTCAATGACCAATCACGTTATACTCCCACTCTCACACATCGCAAAATTTTATTTTTGAAGATACCACAGGGCATCTTAGTTGTAATGCAAGAGTTGCGATATTAGCATTCATTTGGACATGCGTGGGTGGCATATCCGTGCTGTACATGGGACACTAACATGTAAAAATGAAGAGTTAAATTTCTCTGGAGTTTATAAATCATGGGTTGATAGCCTTCGTAAATGACTACTAAGATCCAGAAACCTCGGTGTCAGACGTGTTGTGCCGGAAAAACAAGAACGCTGATCACTTATACTCGGAACGAGGGACCACGGCAATTCCCGCCATGCGAAAGTAAGAACACAAGACTGGTATAAGTGAAGATTTATTAGCCCCAAACACTATGACAACGACGAATCAAAATAGTCTAAAATACACTCGTTTATATGTTGATTGTACGCCCATTTTGATTATTAATTAAGATTAAATTACATGCTTAGTTATAGCAAATCACTTACTGAGCATAGTTCATGTCAATTGAATACAAGAATATCGTATATTATACAGAAAAAAATATCATACTGGGAAAACAATCAAATACTACACTAAATGATCCTCACGTTGAATTAAAATGGATGTAATGTTGAATAAAACTGATAATGAGTAATTCAATTGAAAATTGACTTTTCTTTCCATCATATCACGTGGTAAGTGCGATGAGACAGCTTAGAAACATTTTAAATATAGCAGAGTATTATTAAGTTAATATCTTTTGGTCAAGATGCTTCTATAGATTTTGGACAACTAGGATTTTTAAAAGTACTGATCATTACATTTTATTAGACATTTGTGAAAACGAACGCCTACATTAGGTTGAAATCATAATAAATTCAATATGCATAGTAATTTGTTACTTTTTTTTTACAAAAAAGACCAAGTTAGAAAGAAAAAACAACAGGTAATAATGTAGTTTACCTTTGCTGCAGTCAATAGCAATTTATAAGTTAGCGGACGAATGACAGCCAATGATAATGCGTTAACCAAACTTGGAAAAACATAGCAGTTGTTTCCTTGACTCGGTTTTAATAAACGATCATCTGGTGTTCGAACAGGTTCTGAAGAAGAACCACTGACAAATATACATCTCCACTACACATACAAGGGAAATAGATGAAAAGAAGTTGATAAAAGTCCCCAATGAATTTCGTATTATTTCGTGTACAAATTAGAATAAAACTATGAACAACAAAACAGGATAACTAATATTAAGATAAAAGGGTGCATAAGTGTGTTTAATGGTTAAGGTGCTTCTATTTCGGACATTGAGTTGCAGGTTCGAACCCTGCTTCATCTACTTCGGTTTGGGCAACAGGGTAGTGTCAACAGCTTTTACACTTGGTGTGTGTATCAAAGCCAAGTACACGAATCCCCACCCGGTAAACGAATCTAATCACCATATCATGGAGATAAACAGAAAAAAATTTAATACAATCCAAAAGTTTTGATATAAATTTAGTAGGAGCAAACGTAGTGTTAGTTACCTCATCAAAAGGCTATGTAGAAATGTCAGAGGTAATGTTTGTTTGATCACAGTGTTAGGCAATACTAATTCTAATCTCAAAGAAACAGAATTTGCTCAAAAGACCCCAAATTCACCTTAAGAAACAATCAAATAACAGTTGCCTATTATTAACATGGATAAATTGTCAGTTTATTTCGATTCAAAAATCTTCAGGACAATTTACTGCCACTTTGTACGTTTATGTAGTCGTTTCAGAAGGTGGTATTACAAAAAGATATACCAGATTATTCTCTGTCCCAGTAAGTTATTGATTAACATCTATCATAAACATTGTGTGAACAGCAGGATATAAAAAAAACATCATTTACAAAATTAATCTCAGTAAAAAAAACATAACATACTTCTGTAGCCTTATAAGCCATCTGGGAAGTGCATTCGCCTAGATTTGATTGATTGCTTAGGACAAATATGATAGGAGTCTTATGGATTGTTGACAGTTCACGAAGAATATCACGCGTGAATGCTCCACTTTGTCCAGAAGCACCTGCAAAGAAATGAGGAAGGTTATCATGAGTTGAATAGAATTTGCTTTAAAATAATCGGAAAATAAGGATAAATATACATATGCGATCTCTTCTTCAAGTTAGAAACCCTACGTTAAGTTCACTGAAATAACCCAAGGTTAGTTATAGCCAAAAGACTGTTTTGGCTTCTCAGAGATTTTGTACATGAAGATCAACAAATAACGACTAGATTAAGGTAGGACTCAAATTTAGGGCGATAAATGCAACAAAGACAGTCAATTCTCAAAGCAGCCAAACACAAACATGATCCATTAAAAATGGCTGTCCAAACCAAGTATGCGATAACCAACAAAAGAATAAATTCTAACTACTCATAAGTGGTAAAGTTATAAAACACGAATATCATATTTTATTAACTACTGAGAAGTATATGATAAAAAAAGGATAGCTGGAATAGTTTGTGTTCTATACAATATCCTTATAATACACACGAAAGAGACGTATACTCCCTAATGACATTAATTGAGATACGAGTCCTTGGTTCAATAATTTTATTTATGCACGGATAGTAGGGTGAGTGTGGGAACTGAAAAGATGACTCGTATTGTAGAAGGATTCCAAATAATCAAATATACTGTCATTAGTTAAAACTTGCAACGAACTCGTTGGGGCATCGAAGCATGAACTTATGTGCAACTAATCACTCAAAAGAGGTTTGCTAAAGCATGACCACTTAAATATTAGTGATAATATGGGTTCAACTAATGTTTGAAATATTTTTCAAAAGTTTTAACTAAGCTGTATGATTAGGCAAAGCATTAGTCTAAAACGAAAAATAATAGATGGAAATCACTGGGTTTTAACAAGAAAAGGATTATAATAGTAATTTACCAGAAGCAACAGAAAAACGTGCAAGTGCTTTTATGATGAACTGAGATTAGTTGGAGAATCGTTTCAAACAAGAAGGGATTTAAAAACAAAGATGAAAAATATACTTTAGATTAAAATAATAAAAAGGCACTTGGTTGAAAGGGAAAATAAACTTATGAATGTTGAGTTACTTACCAATTAAAACAGAAGGTCGAATTAATCGAATAGCTTCCAAAAGTGAATCTATTTTAGGATAATCAGAACGAGCGAATTCTGATTTTGCTGCACTAAGTTCATGACTCTGTAATGAAACGAAATAACCATGTTAGTCGGACAGAAAGTTGCCGTTTCAGCAATAAGAGAAATCCATAATATATGTATTTTCAAGTTATAGTGTGGTGTGGTACATTAACTACTCTATAGGATGACATAAGAGAAAATTGACAAATTCAAAAACACAGGAGTGAGAATACTAATGTTATTGACAGTAAGAAGTTGAGAGTATGAAATGAACGAATGAAATCGAGAAATAAAGACGATCAGAAAATACACTAACTTAAGGTTGAAAGAAAATATAAAGAACAAATCCGTCTAGATGATTACAACTGATTTAAAAACACGCCACCCAGGGTCTCCAACGATTATTGCTTACAGTCTTCTCCCGTAGCGCAATCGTAAAGTCTGCACTTACAAATACAACAGTTAGTGTCTCCGGAGATTGGTGCTGTATTGATTTGTTACTACAGCTTTTCTCCAACTGACCCCTACGCGAGCTTCTGCTGCATGTCAAGGGATGTGGTAGCTAAGACATGTATTATACATTTCCATTCACCTAAAGCGATAAAAGTTCGTAGCCTTGTCATCCAGTTTAACGTTACTACCTATTATCATAAGCTGAACCTCAGAAACATCGAATTAATAATTCCCCTATACATGAAACAATACTTCGAGAATATCTGTGATCGAATGTCAAGAACCAACTGTTTCTGTCTACATAGGCCAAATTTCACAACTATAAAGTAATGAACTGTTGAGAGTCTCTGCACAAAACAAAATCAACGAATGTGAACAGTATAGATTTTTAATTACAAATATATGCGTGAACTGAGAGGAGTTGCGAAAATTTCAGGCATCATTACTTAATACATCGATAAAAATAAAACAATTTGATTAAACCGAAAACAAGAATAAACCATTTGTTGGCGACACTTTCAAAGTTTTTTCTTGATTATACTATTTCAAAAATTTTTGTAAAATAAAAAAATTATTAGAAAAAACCATCTCTATGACAAACGCTGACAATTATACTGCTGGTTAAGCCAACAGTCGTATATTTCACAAGCATAGTTTTATTTACAAACTTGAATACACTAAGAACAATGATTTGGGCAGAATAAAATGAATTTGTCTTATATCATCAGGTTATTATTGCTGCTCTGATCAAATTGTTATTTTTGCACTTGTTTTAATTCAAATATTGAATGTTGCGTACATGTTTTTCGTATACGAAAAAAGCTTACATAATAAGTACAGCTTTTAGAGAAACATTGAAGTCATTAATACTGTTATACAATATTATATCTTAAAAAGAACAGGTTTCCGTATTATGACGGACTCCATGTGGTCAAGACGTTATTATAGAAGCAGAAATACTGTCTAGTCTGATTGTTTGTCAATTTGTTCTGAACTTATTGGACCAATTAACAATGACCGAAACTTTAGCACCTATTGGTCCTCAACCTTCGCTCAACCAAGTATTCAATCAAATGAAATTAGCAACCAGATAAGATTTCTATTGTGTGACCATTCCACCATCCCATACAATAAAATAATTTTCTGATCGCATACCAGTATGAATAACAAAGTACATAAGTGCACCATAAGTGATACAGAAACTAAGTAATAGGTCCACAACTAACGAACGACATCTTGAGAAAGGTAAAACGCATAACAATAGTTTATGCGCCAAACGAATAATTACAATTAGGGGGATTCAAGGATACAATAATTCAAATGTTTAATAATTATACAGTAAAAATATTAACAATAGTTCCCAATAAGATAGTTCCACGATCTACAGCTCTTTCTCGATATTCACTCCATTATGACATAATTAGATAAAACTGTCAATAATCTTATACACCAATAATATCATAAAGGTTTAGTTTTTATTTTAACATTCATTGAAATCATGACTTAGAAAAACCCTTTAAACATGTCCAAGTGTGAACCGATTTGTACGATTAGGTAAACATTGTAAACATACACTAAGTTTTTAGGTTATTGTAAACACAATATACTAGCTATGAAAATTTTTAAATGAATTGGAAAATACGATATTCAAGTGTATTTTTTGGCATTAGTTCATAGTAAGGCGTAAAACTTGACCTTGGACTAATTTATTAAAATTTTGAATATCTTACCAATATTTCGAACCATACACTCCTGCATTTTATAATAAAATATTTAAAATCAATAACATTAATCGTTGTGTGAAAAAAAACTTGGCCAATACATGGGCAAGTGCTCCACAACATAGAATTTTAGAGGCACAATTAATGGTACAACCAATCCCGATTGATAAACTTCTTTATATGGAGAACAAACAGCGTAAGATAAAGTGGATTTATTTCAATATTCCCATTCCATAAGCATCTTCCAACCTGAGTTATTTTTAAATTAACCACAGTAACAAATTCATTACTTAATTTACCTATATTTCCACGCCGATTTTACCGTTGTTATCCTTGACCTCACTGTTACACTAAAAATAGTTGCCTCTAACACCTAATCTATTCACAATCTGACCCTATTCTTCACGTCATATAATTATATACTTCCTAATTTTCACCACGAACTGGCCTAGATTAAACAACCACTGAAAACTACACAGCACTGAACATCTGTGAACTATTTGTGACTGTTTGTAACATTGAATTTAATGATTTTATACCACACTTATTATTATTGGCTTTACTCAATATCATGTCTTTCGGTACAATATAGAATTCTCAGCACAAAGCATTCTAACTAGTTTCCTTATTTCTTGATCGACCCTTGCGATAAATATTGAATGGTCGCCAGTTAGATGTTAGCAGTTCAGGAATCGACATCTGATTAATGTATATTCTTTTCGATGCATATTGCCAGCGACCACGATGTCTCCGATTAGACTCTTTTGTAACTTGTACAGCGAAATGTCGTGAACTTTTCACAACCGCACCTGAATAGGTTATGCGATCAATTGGCATAATGATGTGTTAAGACGAACAAGAAAGCATATAGCTTGTTGAAATATCCGGATGGCAGGTACATGTAGCCCAGATATTCAAGCAAGCCGCCTTTACTTACCAGGATACTTACAGATCGTGTGTTCAAACATGTGTGAGGTCATCCTGTGTGCGTCTTAGAGTTTTCTACCTCCTACAAATCTTCCAAATTACGTCAGTTTGTAGTAAAAATTACTTTCGAATTATTATATGCAAACCATATTTGTGGTATCACATTTCATCGATAAAATTGGTGTCTATATAGATTTTGGGAAGATGAAATGAAGTGAATGTCATCCACCTGACAATGTTTGTTACATTTGCTTCACAAATATTAGTTACCAGAACAGAAATGTCTGGTTTCCCTTCTTTCGTTAGGATTTCCTATTTTATCAAGTGGTATTTAACTAAAAGAATGGAACTGGTTTACAATTCTACTTGGCATTACAATGAAATATCTATACGAATTAGAAACTAAGTTCTTTATTACTAACAAGTGGAGGACTAAAATCATAGAAGACTGAATAGCTACTTCATCTTAGTTCGGTACTCCTCATGAATATGCTCCTCGGAGCTTCAGGTTTTGTGACCTAAAAAACGCCTTCAAGAGACTGAATTAGAATCTAAAGTTCTACATTTTTAAATTTATTCTTTTAGCGATGCTGGTTGACAACATTGGAGTTAAACACCACCAATCACAGCTCATTAAAAACTCGGGGATGGAATCTTGAAGCTAGTGGTTATTAATAGGCGTACAATTATTAGTTTGAAGAACTGCAGTCGAACTTGATAAAAAAAATTTCACAAACTACCTGTGCATACTGACTTATTTCTCTCTTTCTCTAGACTTGATGACGTGTTCAGAAATGTTGGTGTAGATACAGATATGTAGGCGAAATCGATATAATTAGAGCGATAACGTGAAAGCAGACTATTATTTTTACTGCTCAAAAATAGCTAATACAAGATGGCGTATTAATTAATGATAAGTACAGTTAAATAAGTATTTACATACTGTGACAATTAAACCTTTAGAATCCATTATAAAAATACGTGATTTAGCTTCATCTTCAGAGAAACCTTCCTCCATAATTGCTTGTACTAACAAACGTGCTATACCGATAGAAGCCTAGATAAATAAACAAAAACAAATTATTTATTGACATTATTAATCTCAATTGAATAAAGTGAACGAAGCGTGTTATCCACAGTTAGTGACCACCTAACCAAGAACTTAGAAAAAAGCTACAGGTGTCCAATTAGAGCATTGTATTAGTACATATAGGTCCGTGACTAGTGGGCTGAATCATGTAAGACGATGTTTTTTGTCGAGGTCTGTAAGATAACAGTTATGGATGAAGGATTACAATTATGACTCAGTGTTGTACAGGCACGATGGGAACAAAACATAATATTGTTCTGTGCTCTTTATATTTCACATAACGAATACTGAAGAGACCGATACGTAATTCACGAAACGAAAAAGATTCGTTTCGCGAATTACTTAAGATTTTTGATGTTAGGAAATAATTATCGTGTACAAGAGGCTAGAATTCAAATATCATTGTTCAACACTTATTTAATAGAATTAAATCTTCATACCAATCCATACAAAACATAACTGAAGACTGCCAACCTTTAATCCAGTTAAACTTAGCCCTTAACAACTGAATGTTCTTACGTAGGGAAATCTATTAATCCTGTTGATTTTCAGTGTCATTAGAAGCTACATATTATACAGTGATTTCAACTGGCGTAATGAGAAAAGCTAAACAGAGTGCACGCTAAAAGCAATAATGGATATTATTTCACTATATCTACAAGATTTTGTTATGAACATGTAATTATTAGGTGGATTAAGATTAATTAATATATTGTTTTTACTACAAAACCATAAATTGAACATATTCAAATGAATGAAACAAAGGCGTAACTTACTCCCCCACCACCATAAAAGAGATAACTGTTCTGAGATATTTTCTTTTGTGTCACTCTGGATGCAGTCATTAGACCTGATACAATAACCACAGCAGAACCTGATATGATGAATAGAAATAGAATGAATACGTTTAAAAATGCAATTTTTAAGTCCATTCCACACGTCAATACCTGTCAATTAAAAATGTTTACAATATAGTTCTAGTCAAATCATTAGATTTTTATCTTTAATAAAACAGTAGAAAACACCTGCTACTGTGAGCTCCTGAACAAGATATAAAGAGTAAAACGCTTTGGGTAAATAATATTTAGCTATTAGGTAAGTCAATTAAAGTCCAATTTTTAAACTGCTCAGTTATAGCTAAATCATTTATTGTACTAAAAAACTTGAATTACAAAATCTTTATGACGAAAACTGAATAATGGGAATCAATTTGATACAATTCACAAGGAAAAATTAATGTGTAAGAAATTACAATTTTAAGTATATTCTCACAAAAATTTAATAGTACGCACAGCTACAAAAAGTCCATTTGATTTTATTTTTATCCAGTGGATAAATTATAAGTATAGAAGAGCGAATATATATCTCAGTCGGACACTGGGTGCTGAATATTGAAAACCAGTGTCAAATACTTTTGTTTATCTCTGTCACGGATTTATTAGTCTCGACTAATAAATAAACACGAAACCCAGCCCAGTGCATTTGGGTCTTACAGTGAGTTAAGTAGAGGATCAGTAGATTATTTGTTGTTGGTAAGCTGTTCAAGTACTATCTAAGGCATGCAAGATGATAGTTCTTTTTTATATACATGAAAGCATGTAAAAGCTGTTTTAAGCTTTTCTTTAATATATTTACTCTTTATACCAAATATCTGCATTGTTTTGTCAAGTAGTTTGTGATGTAAAATAACACACCATTGTGTTGCGAATCGTTGACTTAAGTAACCAACTTTTAATTACCAAATCACGGTTTCTAAACCTGTCTCATCTACTAAGAATTAGGTATCATTAGTTGAGTCACTAGCCCTCAGAGAATGCTTGTGGCTTAAAGCCTGTTCGAAATTAGTGAGTTGAAGCAACAAGTTCTAGACTGATCCAGTGAATCACGTAGTACATTAAGACTATGTTCGGGATGAGGAATCCCCAAATAAAACTTGGGCGAAAAATTAATGTCGAATTAAGATGAACACATGCTAAATTAATTTATTCAGTGTGAAGCTACTTCGTGGACCTTCAGTGAATTTTTCACTATATTTGTTCATTGATAGTTACTCAATTCGATAACTATAATCACTGTAATCGATATATAACTAATTATCTCAAATGTACATTGAATTCTACTGATTTTGGCTAACAAAGCTTTTATACGACTACTAGACTTCTTACTCTAGTTAGCATATATATCTGGTGCCCTCTTGTACTAATATTTGTGTTCAAATATATAATAGCGTGGTAAAGAAAAGGACAGCATCAGTATCGTTCACAGCATTGAGGTTAGAGTTGTGAAATACTGGCTTAGCGTACAAACATATCAGACAACGATCACAAAACTTAATTTCCAATACCTATCATGAACATTTCAGTTTTGTAAACCAATGAATACGTAATGGCATTCCAATAATGGATAAAAATAAAACGAGCACTTTATTAACCTTGTATGTCATCATTGAATGTTATGTAATTCGAACGATATCTCTCTAAAAGTTGAAAAGCATTTGAATTCTTGAAGTCTGCAAAATGCAGACAAACATTTGGTCCATAACTAGATGTGATATGGTTGTTAATTGTAACAATATTACAACATACTGAGCAGACAATGACTCCACAACTTCATCCATGAAAGAAATATACTCTTCTCCGGTGGCCCGTTTCCGACGAAGACCAACATAAAACTCATCCTGACAAAAATGGAAACGTTAGTAATTAAGTGAACATCAAACATTTATATTCTTGGGAAATTTTTATAATAAACTGATATATATATATATATATATATATATATATATATATATATCCTACAGGGTGGAAAGCTCACAATATAAATTAGGAAGTGTTAATGGAAAAGGTGTAGCATGAAGGTTGACTTTGTATATGATAGTTTTGCATCGACCATAATTTAGCTTGAGCATAAGGACCACTGAATAAAATGCATGGTGATGATGATAGTAGGAAAGCAAGTCACTAGACTACGGCTCACTTTCATTTTATGCGTGGATTTTATGCCTTAATGAATAGAGCGTAGTTCGAATCGGTAATCTATTGGCTGAAAGTTAAATGTCCCAGTCACCGAGTAGTATTTGTCTCTGAGCAAGTTTGACTTAAATTGATTGTGCAAATCACGTTCTTGTAGACTACCTTCCCCACGATATCTACACCTGAAGCAACGAGAATTAATCTTCGCAGGAAATCAACTAATTTGAATAAAAATTAGTGAAATCTACGCAAAAAAAACAGAACTAGTAAATCTGAAGTGCAGCTGATTTCTTTTGGTGACAGGTCAGATAATGATGACGGTTTCTCGCAGCTTTGGGTAGACAACAGCCCGTTTCTGGCTATCAATAACTATCGGTAGTCATCGCCGATGTGCTACCCGACTCCTCTCTACATTTAAAGCTTGAACTCAGATTGATCACATCGCGATCAGCTACCGCTGAGATTATTGTGCACAAAACTCCCGCCCCCTATGAAGTACTTGACTCGACTCTGATCATGCCCTCGTTTGAGCTAATTGAACCCTACGCTTCAACGTCCAACGAACTTCTCGTCTTAAACGGACTAATACGGCCAATTTGGTGACAGCTTCCGCTACAACCGAATATAAAACCGAGTTAGGTCTAAGGATAGCTTTAAACCCAACGAAAAGTACAGATGAGTACTCGTTCTAACTGCATGACGCTATGAAAATGGCTGACCGAGTCCCTAGTGGTTTCACAAAACATCTCGCATTGTTTTTACAAGTTTTTTCAAACCCCTTGAGACACGTCGGTCTACTTTGGTCAATCTTGAGTTTGACGATGAACGTAGGATTTTATGTGGAAAAACTGTGTAAAGTTTGAGTCAAGACCGAGAAGTCTTGTACCTAGAGCGTGCTAACGAGTCGGTGGCAGCAGTTGCATCTGACAACTGTCGGAAGCCCTTGCAACAAATCCGACCCACAGGCAACAAGGAGTCTGAAGCAATCTATGATGTCAATTAATAATATCCACCAACGTGTAGGAGGATTGACAGAGTTCTTGAAAAAGGAATTTTACCGGTCTGCTGCCTCAGCTACATCGACCAAACTGTTCTTTCCTCCCCGGTCAGCATCGACCGATCCACTTAATAAGGCAGAACTCCATAAGGAACTCCAACTGTAGAAGCGCCACGAATCACCAGGCCCAAACTAATTACCTCTAGCTCTTTTTAAGAATAGTGGCGACCTTCTGGTTATTAAACTGACTGGGCTATTTGCAAAAGTTTGGGAATTATAGTGTTTCAACATCCTGAAGTGAGTCGATAGTCATCCCTATATTAAAGAAAGGTTTAAGTTACCCATACAACTACTATCGAGGGATAGGTCTACTTCTGATTTCGTCCAAACTACTGGCCTTAATCATACTTCGCAGACTGTTCATAAGCTGAGAAAGACTAACTCACAAGGAGCAGGTTGGTTTTCATTGTTATCGAGGATGTATCAGTCACATCTTTACCCTAATACTTATTACAGGCCAACAAGCGTTATGTTTCTTGATATTAGGGCTTGCTTCAATTCGTTGGACAATGCTGTTCACTGGGATTACCTATTGAAGAAAGATATGTCTCAGAAGTTTTTTAACATCTTAAAAGCTATATACAAACATCTCAGGCAGAGTGAGGGCATACAGTCACCTCTTCGCGTTGTTCCGCATGAGCAATGGGGTTAGGCAGAGTTGTCCAATCTCACCATTCCTCCTCAACTTCCCCATCGATGACGTCCTGAAAACAACTCTGATGAAAGTAGATAAGTGATGTGGCTCTGTTACCTCGAAAAATACTTGTTGACCTGGAGTATGGGGATGATACTATTTTGTTGTGAAGTGGTATTCAAGCTCTGCGACCCGCACTTGACTAGTTGGCAATTCGTGTCCGCAGGTACGGCATGCATTTAAATCGTGTGAAGTACTTTTACAAGACCGGTAGGGACCTGTGTCTGCACTCACGCTTAGTAGTGGGAAGTTAAAAATAGTCGAAAAGCTCGTGTACCTGGGTAGCTGTATAAGTGCTGTTGGTGGCATTAGTGATGAAGTCAATCTATGTATATCAAAAACCAGAGCGGCCTATATCAAACTAGTCCATCTTTGGCGCCTTTTCCATGATATTCTGGCTGTAAAATGTCAGATTTACAACGCGTCGGCGACAGTAGTTTGGCTTTATACTTTTGAAATTTGGTCTTTACGAGTCGAGGATGTTAAGCGGCTATCGGTGTTTGTTTGTGATTGTCTGCGAAAGATTGCTGACATTTAGTGGAAAGACCATATTAGAAATGCGGAAGTTCAGCAATGTGCGTCCGGGTGCAGTAAAGATAACTTACTCGGTCATAACGTAAAAACACTGACTTCAGTGGCTTAGACATGGACTACGAATGTTGTCCCAGCGAATCCCACACCGTGGATTATGTGCCAACACCGAGACTGACGGGATAAGGCGATCAGTTTACGACACGGTAAGGGATATGCAGGCAGCTGTATAGGATTGGTGTCTGCCGGCACAGCAATGTTTGCTGGTTGAGGTTCGAGGGATAGTGAGACACAGTGACTCCAGAAATGATCAGAGATAGCTCAGAATAGAACCCAGTGGAGGTCCTGCTGTAAATTACTTGTAATTTTTTTCATATAAGTGAGAGCAACTTAACTGAAAGAATCCTGTCCGGTTGTGTCTTTCTAACTGAACTGCTTCTTCCACTACTTTTTACTTATACGCATATTTATTCATTTAGTTTGTTATACTATACTCACCTTCCTTTCTCCACCTCTTTACAACCTCGTTTCCTTATTGTGTGGCCCAAATATATTTTGGTGGCACTTTGTATCAGTATCAGTATATAATAAATATATTTTACTATGTATACTTTAATTTTGGATTTGCTAGTTGTAAAAATTAGACTTGGGTAGTCCTTCGGGACAAAGTTCCGTAAAATATACTCTTTACGCCAACTGATGGGAGACAATTTATTCTGTTAGTGGTTTTAAAAAATCCAAGCATAATTCACTTACATGTATATAAATAAAAACGTTTTCTTGGATGACTTCGTAGTCTTTTAAATTGCAAAAATAGGCATGAGTTATTAAAATCAGCAGTAAGTAGATCAAATAAGAAAAATTAACAGACTACTAGAACAAATAGATCAACCTTTTTTTAGAAATAACAAGATTAATATATACCTCCAGAAGCTTTTCATTGTTCGTACCAACATCCAACATCACAGGTAGGCAATGATAAGGTTGTAAGCCTCCTAAGGCAGTGTACAGAACAGCCTTGCTTAGAGGAATAGCCATTCCATTAGCGCCCATATCTCCGAAACCCAATATACGTTCGCCATCAGTCATAACTACAGTCTTTATTTAACCTGTATTCAGTAAAGATTTTGCATTTACCTTAATTGTATCGGCAGGCCAATTTTTTAGTAAAGTAAAAATATGCCCTCTATCTTGAATTGTAATATAAATACCTCTAGAAATATGGTAAATACAGCAACTTACCGAGGCCTTCGGAAAACAAAACCGAAATTCAAACATGCTAAGCCAACAGTAGGTGTGTAAATAAGTGGTAAGCAATACTCTAAATGTGTTCTGATAGTCTGCGAAATAATCTTATTAGATTATTATTACCCGATAAAACAGCTTTTCGTTAAGATCTTGGAGGGACATTAGCATCATGTAACGGCTAAGATTATCATCCAGCTGATAAAGGTTTGAGATAACTCGTTGTTCCTCAACATCTTGATTTTGAAGATTCGGTGGCAACAGTCCATGAATCCCCAGAAGTTGGCGTTCATGGAGAGTATACGAGGAACCCTGAGGGAAAACTCAATATGGTGAAGTCTAACCTTATTTGTCCGTGGGTCACGCAAAATTTCGATCCCTCGGGTCTTCAAGCGAGGCGCATTCCGAATTAATGAAGGGATATAGCGGCAACTCATATCCAGATTTCCTGAAAATGGTAAAGATAACTTCAGATTCCTTAGAAAACGTAATAACTCAGAATTTGGAAATAAGACAACAGCAAAGAAATGATCCATATTTTTAATAAGTTGTTATCACGAACTATCTAGTAAAGTGTACTTCAACGGAGTACAATTGTTCTCAGTCATTATTAGTAACCCAAGCAAACATTAGGAAAATACAGAGGCAATTCCTTGAGGAAATTTCATACACATAGTTCCCTTCATTATCTTAAAGAGAGTAAGAACAAAGATTGGTGCACCAATCTATGTTCCTGCTCTCCTTACGGAAAATCGGTGTGAAAATGGGTGACAATGAGTGAAATTATCACCTTAATGGCCCGGAATGAATGGTATGACTTTTCAAGATTTCCCATGTAATGGGAAATGCTCCCAAATGAACACCTTTATCTTCCTCAAATTGTCAAACTTTCCCTAAAATTAACACTATGCTCCCCTTTATTTCGCCTACTATAGTTGCTTGAGGAGGCAAATTTGCTTTGAGAAGTTCACAGTGTGAAGTCGCCGCGTAAAGTGCAAAATAACTTTGGCAAAATAATAATTTCCCTAAACACTGAAGTAATCGAAAAAAAGCCGTCAAAGCGGACACGCGCAATTTTTATGATCACCTCAATGACTGCGGCAACGACCCAGTGGCATTATCCACTGACGGAGGTTAGTGAGCACTTGAAGGTCAAGGTTTCGTAAAACGATTGGTGCGTCACCTCGACAATTTGTAAGGTTATGCATGAGTGGTCAAATCAAGACGATTACAAATGTTGAGTTCAGCCATACTATTTCTGATAGCCTCCATCTTTCAAGTAGCCAAAGTGATGCCATCGTTATGATGGATGATATCGGAAGAATCTCCAGCGATATTATGATGTCGCGACGGATAAAACTTTCCCCAAAATAGGGAGATTGGGTCAGTACTCGGTGCGAGAAACGAAACTCCAGACGTAGACTATTTGACCCCGGTTTTTATACTTCATACCAAATGAATTTATCCTTTAGGCCTAAATATTACCACTGTCAATCTGGATTTTGGGTTCGTGCGGCATTTGTACAGACTAATGATTCCTTTGCACTTGACTACTCGCTTATCCCAAATTCCAAGTGGAATAGGTTTGTTTGTGCTTATCTAGTTCCGTCTGGCTTAAATCAAATTCAGATTTGTGCAGTAATAACAGAAGGCCTATGGACTACGTTATTCCTTCTAGTATTCTTCTGTGAGTGTCTTGTCTTCCCTTGAATGAGTCGTTTAAAGGTGAGGGTACCACTGATCCGGGTAAGAGGTCCCAAGAATCGATGACTCGGCGTGGAAACCTGTATGCCACAGGTATTTTATTCGTTCTTGGCTTTTCTACCCGCCTGATAAATCCTCTGAGATGTCCGGATCAGAATAAACAAATTAAATCACGTTTCCGGGAATTCCTAGTAGGTACAATAATTTTAATATTTCTAGTCTTCATAGTAGTGAGATAAATGTCACTTCCATCAAAATTGTGTACAACCATCCTTGCATAAAAAGATATATTTTTGTAGATCCTTCGAGACGACAGTTATTATAGAGTAAATGATTATATTTAAGACCGTTTTTTGTGTAATACGCCAGCGCGCAGCATTGGGCATCTGGTTACTCGGAGGTCCCACAAGTAGCTTACCGAGGAAGATATTGCCAAAATATGGTCACAGTTGTATCCAGGTTGTTAAACTCACATTCTAATTACGTGGATTCGGACATTAAACATATCAACGGGAATTTACAGCGCGTTCAGCCAAACGCTGAAGCAAGGTTATTCGAATAAAATCGGAACATATCTCATATTTGTTTCAGTCGCAGGTAAAAAATGGTTATCTACCTAGAGGTGTTATGTATTGATTCGACCTATCAAACCAACAAAGTTGGCTAAGTAACGAATAATAACAACTTTATCTTGAAGTCTTCCACAGTTATAGCTAGTCGTTGCTGATAGTATTTAGCAAGGGCACACTGTTATGCATGTCCTTTGCAGGCAAGAACGACGCAAAGACTTCTTAAGCCTACCAAGATACTTCAAAGACATAATGAATGGTACTTATGGTACACGCACTTTTATTGTGGATTCGGCAGCGACTGAAATTTCCTAAGTGCAGTCTTTGCACAGTCATGCCAACATAATACTGTGTCCGTTCCATGTTCTAATAGTATTTTTCAGGAAGGTGAGAGTTAACTTTATAGATTATTTTCTGTAGTCGCGAAATGCCGATGTTCGCAAATGCTTGGAACATCTTGCATAAACCAGGCTATCGGACATGCAAGCTCCACTTTACATAATGCATTATATTCAGATTTGCTCAAACGTACGGGTGCTTGAGAACCCACATTACACGAGCCTATGATTACATAGGAGACCAATGGATTGACCGGAAGTCATTATGAGCTAGCTGTTGTCAACGGCGTGTACCAAGCCTGAACAACCAAGTAAACGATCGTGTGGATAGTGCTCATAAACACATAACGAATGTCTCAGAAGAGATGATTCTCTTCTCTATAGCTTTTGTGGCTAAAATTGCAGCTAGAAATTACAAACAAGTTAGGAAAATGAGACACAAAGCGATGGCAGGAGAGTACATCCACTGCTACGACAAGGGTAAAGTGTATGTTGTTAATGCTTGATATTCGCGATGTGCTTGTGAGCGTTTCAATGTCCACACTTGTGGTGTAGTCAGATTTCGCGAACACATGTCAAAGATCTATTTCTTTGTCTCTATAAACATCATAGATTTATTTCGATATAGAAATTGGTGGACAAGGAACTACATAATCGACTTGGTTATCCGTACATTGGATAACATGTTAGACTTTACAGATCTGCATCCTTTAAAAGGACCTCAGGATGGTAAATTTATCCGTTCATGCTTTGGAACATCGGGAAACATAAGTACACAGGTGGTCAGTTAAATTCGTGACAACGAAGAAGCCACATCGTCAGAATGCGTTGTTCTTACTCATCATGACTGTGCCTCTTTATAACAAGACATTGGAATTGTCATTTTTTTTCGGTTTTACATAAATTAATTTATATAGCTATCAACTTGTTTACACGTCATTACGGCAGGGAGAGTGTACAGTGCAGTCTTGTGTTGCTGTGTGGCTGAGAAACATAAGTGTTGGTTAGTATTAATGTGTAACGATTACCAGGTTGGCATTTACGCAATGTCGTTCAGACTGGTTACCAAATACTTCAACACTGAACTTGGTGTATTCAACTACTTGGTGAAATTCGGCACTACTAAACTACTTGCAAATCACACAGCAGTTACTTTTCACTATCATTGAGCTGATTTTGCTGTGCTTCATTTCAGTATATGTGGGTAAGAATGAATGATTGATGCCATTCGGTTTAATTATTGGGAACAGCGTTGACTCTGGATTTTTATCTATGATCTTTCGTCAAGGATCAGGGTCTTTATCTATTTATCGCTCTTAGTGGTTTGCTACTCTAAATAACACCCCTTTCTTCATCCTCATTTCTGAATATGTGTTCATGTAATGAGTCTGGAATAGCCTTTATTCACCTAAAAAGTTAGTAGCACTCAGAAGTTTATTACCTATATCAATGATGATTAACGTAGATAAAGCATATATACTAGCTGCTTGTTTCTGATACGTTTGTGCATCGAACGATAGATAGGAGTAAGCGATCGAAAGCTGTTCACGAGACACTCATGTTACATGTATGTAGTGCGTGTATGTGCATTTTCCGACGAAGTTTCACCGCTATTCGTTCTATCCCCTTGTTACGCAAAAAAGAACAGGAATACATGTTAAACATATTACATTCTACTGTAAATCATTTACAACAATATGAATATAAACTTTAAATGGAGTATGCAGACATTGGATACCTAATCACCTTTTGTGCAAACACTACACTCGTTTTCGCCTAATTAGTAAAGAAAACCAACTCCACGAAATCGCCAAAAGTTTGCTAGCCGGGTAAACAAATAGTTAGTCAAGCAATGCAATGAATATATATATATATATATGAAAGTGGACAAATGTATGTTTATGCACACAACTCTTGTTTCCTTGACTGATCTTCACTTTTTGACTCCTCGTATTATAAAGGAGCCGTTGTACATAAGTTGTCTTAATCGGCATACAGCAGTACTTAGTTCTGCTACTGGCTATCTTTGTAAGAATATCGGCAACCTAAATCCTGAAACTTCACCGAAGTAGGAACTCTTGGAAATTTGCTTAGTCCCCGGTGAAGGCTACTCATGAGCGTACCTTTCGGACATGAGTCTGATTTGTTTCCCGGAATATTATTATTATTATTATTATTAATGACTTTATTCAATATTTTGGTACAATATATAATGCCCAGCACAGGGTATTTCAACAAGTTACTTATGCAAACAAAAATAGTAACAAAGACAAAAAAAAGTTTAAAAAAAAATCTGAAAAAAACAGTACAAAATTTAAAATTAAAGTTATGTTAAGAATGCAGGTTATTGGCTAGATTAACTCTAACAACCTGTTCGTCACAGAGTATATTTGCTAGATAAGGTATTATAGAACATTTGTAC